GGCCTCCTTCTTCAGCCTGATGGCTCCCCGAACCTCTGGTGTCCACCAGCGGGTACGGGGGTTACCACCACGACTGGCACCAACCACCTTGCGACTTCAGCTAGCGACAGCCGCCTCAATAATCGCAGAGTGGAACAAGGCCCACTCGGAGTCAATGTCCCCCACTGCTCTCGGGACGCGGTCAAAGCTCTGCCGGAGGTGGGAGTTGAAGACCGTCTTGACAGGTTCTTCTGCGAGTGTTCTGTAGGCCTGGGCTAGAAAACAATGGTAAAGGTGCATGCTGCCACACACTATTTTGCAGTTTACAACCCAAGCCTTTTGTCGACGATGTAAAGTCAATTTAAACTAGAACTTAGTGGGGTGGCACCTGGGGTGGCCAATCAGATTCTAAAGGTGGCATGTGCTACCCCAGGACACTCCCTGGACACGCCCCTGCATGGGAGCTGACCAAAGCGCCTCCCAACATAAAAACAGAAACATGCAATTGCCGATGTAACACACAGAATACAGCAAATGGATAAAAACCGATAAAAGCAAATAAAACCAGCAAAAAAGAAAAGATAAAACATCACAATCTGAAAGCTTTATTATAGAGGTGAGTCTTCAGGCATCACTTGGAAACACCAATGGATGGTGAGTGGCAGTGCATTCCAGAGTGTGGCAGCTACATACATGAATGCTCGCTCCCCCCTTGACTTGTAGCGCATTTCCGGGGTGCAGAGCAGTAGTTGGTCAGCTGAACGTAGTGCAGTGGCACATAGGGCGTGAGTAAGTCCGATAGGTAGGTCTGTGACAGATTATTCAAAGCTTTATAAGCAAACAGCAGGATCTTAAATGTCACTCTAAGTGCTATTGGTAGCCAATGAAGGTGCGCCAAAACTGGAGTCATATGGCTATGTCGGTCAGTGCCTGTCAAAAATCCTGCTGCAGCATTTTGCACCATCTGCAGACAATTTAGGGCTGAAGCTGAAGTCCCGACCAATAGTGCGTTTGCACAGTCCAGTCGTGAAGTGACGAATGCATGCACCAACAAAGACCTCATAAATGTTTCGAGACACTTTGAAAACTTTCTGATGAGTCCCTTTTGCATCTTGTTTCCAACTGTCCCGGCTCAGTTAAGATGTTTTCAGCCAGAAAACGTTTATGTTAAGGTTAGGGGAAAACATGCGCATGCACGGTGTTACGGTTGCCAGTCTGGCCAGGGAAGAGCAGGAGCCAGGATGACCCAGCTCTGGTGAAACAGCCTGACACCGCCCCTCCTCCTTCTCTCTCCCGGGCTGCTGAGGAGCACAGCTGAGCTGAATCTTCCTTGATTGCCAACACCTGTATAAAAAGGCTGTGCCTTCAGCAGTCTGAGAGGCAGCAGTGCAGGGGTTCTGCTGTCCTCCTGGGTTTTGTTTGGTTTTAACCCCTTTTTGGTTGCATTCGTTTGGATTTGTTTGGGAGTTTTAAACTGTGGTAGTTTTTAACTCTTGGTGATACGTTTTTTAAAGGTTAACTGTATTTGGTGCAATTTGACTGACTTTGGTTTTTAAACACCTTCGTGGGGTAAAGCTTTTAAAATAAACTTTTACCAGGTGTTTTAATCAGTTAATTGTTTGGGACTTTTTATCAACTTTGGGATTTTAAAACACCTTCTGCTCGGTTAAATTTTTAATATAAGTTTTAACCAGATGTTTTATAGTTGATAATTTGGCTGTGTACTGTTAACCTTTTTAGAGAGATCTGTTTGCTTGTGTTTAATACCTTTTTGTTACAAATAAACCCATTTTAAACTCCTCCGCCAGTTCTTATGTTACCCCAATCCTTCACATTTTTACAACACCTGTCGGCAGGGGCGGAGCTTGATATGTGCAACATGTGCGGCCGAACAGGGCGGCAGTCTGCAGGGGGCGGCATTTAATTTCCTTATTTATTTTTTTTAGCATCAACCAATACATAAACAAAACATAGAAATTGCATGTTCTTAAAAATAATAGTGATGATAATAATAATATTTCTGTAATAAAAGCACAACAAAGTGTAACCCATATCAACTACTCCCTGTCACATGACCCACGTCAGCTGATGTGAGGTCCCTCTCCTGATTGGCTCCTTCCACATCGCGGCAACCATGAAAGCTGCTCCTGCCGTGGCTGTTGTTGCTTGTAGAACGGCGTTGGAAAACAAAGCGTTTTTCTCCCCTCAATTCATTTATACCCTCATTTTACCTCAGCGGTAAGTGGGGGGGTGGGGGGTGGGGGTGGGGGGGTGGGCGTCACAGGGGGATCTCGCACAGGGCGCCATTTAGGCCAGCTCCGCCTCTGCCTGTCGGGGACGTAACACACGGAAACACAGTGTTGTCCAACCCATGTTGTGAGTCGGACGATGCTGCTGGGGTGACTGGTTTTGTTCTATCTTCATCCAGAGACAACAGCTGCTCCTGTCTGACAGCTGGCTGCAGAGACCATGAACACAGTTTGATACAATCTGAGACATCCTTCAAAGTTTGTTTCTCTACTAAAAAATGATTATAATATAAGTGACAGTGTGACCTTGAAGACTTGTTGCATTTCTCTTAGAGCTTGAAGGTTGTCTCGTAATCATTCAAAGCCGTATCACCTACACTATTTAAAAATAACTGTTGCTTAGTAATGTGATGTAACCGGATGAAATGCATTGATGCTTTTAATTTTACTACCTGTGATGCCAGACAGTGGTGAGAAATGGATGCCTGGATGTGTTTTAACATTTGGGAGCCAACTACTTGTAGTTGTGTGCTGCCTCACCCTGAGGATGTCATTAGGAGGAGTGCTTTGTATCTTTCCAAATAGATGATGAGAATGTGAATTTGTTCTGCCCCACTTCCCCTTGTCTAACCGCCTGGGACCACCAGGCAGTAAGGAAAGCTCCTCTTCGATGGATGATGCGTTATACAACACGATAACTGCCTTAAACAGACCTCAGCTGGGTTTCCTGACCACAAAGGTCTCTCCTCCACTTAAGGATGAAAGCTTAAGGGGTTTAATGGTGCATTTACATCTGTACCCTACAAACATTTTCTGAAAAATATCCTTCAGGCTATGTGATTTTGTAAGAATTTCTGGGTTTAAATCCTGGACGAGACCCCAATTTGTTACAGCTTGGCACAAAAATTATTTTTTATAAAAAATGGAGAACATGATAGGAACCACTTGAATGTGTTTAATCCAATATATCCAATCCAATCCAATTTTATTTATAAAGCGCATTCACAAGGCATTACAACCAAACAAGGCGCTGTACACTAAAAATGTTGGTTAATTAAACCGGCTTTATACAAACATTTCGAACACAGATAAAATATAAAAAGGAAATACAACAAAATTCCCAAAAATAACATTTAAAAATCAATAAGACACAGGGTGAATAAAAATTAGAAAAAACATTTTAAAAAGAACCTCAATAGTACGGAAGTCGATAATTGTGGAGTCCATTTTTAAACAGTGCAGATATAAGTGAGGTCCATAATTATGTTGTATAAGCTAGGTTGAAGTAGTGAGTTTTCAGGCGTGATTTAAAAATGCTAGCTGTTGGTGCTTGCCTCACTCAATATAATTAAAGAGCAAGTCAACCTCTACCAGAGTCTTACTCCACTCCAACTTCCTGTTTGAAAAATGCAGTAAATACAGTTGCCTGGAAGATTGAGAGGGTGGAGCTGCTAACAAATACAGACACAGGCTCACAATGACATTGTGACATCATGATGTACCGGCTAACATCATAGTGTACCTCTTAGCCAATAGCGATGGCAGATTTTAAATCAAATGCAGTGCAGAGTTTTTTTTTCATGAAAAGGGCTCAACATTGACAGTTGTAGGCAGTATATTTAAATTCGAACTAATATGCACTAAAGTGCCAAATTATTGACTGCATGTGTCTACAGCACAATTACACACACATTTATATAGTTTATCAACAAAAAATAAAAGTTGATTTGGGGGTGACTTGCTCTTTAAGTTAAAGATGGCAACATAAACATAACATCTGGCTTTGGCTATAATGTGAGGTGGTACTGGTTAGCTGCCTCCAGTTTGTAATTCCCACCAACCAGTGAGTCTAAAACAGCCCATCTACACAGACACACACATCAACCCAGGGAATAGGCCTGGGGTGATATTGGTCATTTAATTCAATACTGAACAAATATTTAAGCTCTAAATCAACAGAATCGTTTATATTATTTTAATTTTTAAAGGTTTTCAGCTTTAGAAGACGTGAAACCTCTGATGTTATGCTGAGAAATCTGGCCTAAGATGGTTTTCCCATTATTATTGCAGTGAGTTTATATATAGCTGCAAAAGGAATAACACATTAAAGGTTTCTGTTCAATTTAATTAACTTTTTAAAGCTGTCTTCATAAATTGTTTATTTTTTCCCATAAATTATTTTTAACTAATCAATATTTATGCGACACTTAAATGAACTGGGTTATTTATTGAATAATTCACTGGATTATTTTGATTTATAATTGCTAGAGATAAAAAGTACGTTGTTTTCTCATCTTGATGAAACGTTTCACTTTACTAGGATGTAATGAAACATGTGGCCACTAGTTGGCAGTATTGGCCTTTTTAAAATGTTCTCAGATTGAACAAGTTAGACTTGTTGGTGACCTGTAAAACTTGATTCTTAACAGAAAAACGAGTCACAAATCTTTCCTTTCAAATGATTTAAATCACTAATATTAGTCGAAAAATCTGTTTATTTAATATTTTTGCAATTTTAGCGGTTTTATTTACTGGTTTGCAAACTTTGCATATATAATGTGTTACACTTGATTCTGTTTGTTTTCCCTATAATTGTGTGTTTGTGTGCGTGTTTGAGTGCGTGAGGAGAGGGGGCAGGTACCCGAGTGCGAGCCACTCCTCCTGCGGGCTCCGGTGCGCCCCTGTTCCAATGGAAACAGGTGGGATTCCCGGACCTCCTCCAATCAGACCCTGCTCCGTTCGGACGGGGGGTTGGCGCTTCGGGACCGGAGGCAGGACGCGACCAACTTCCACACGGAGCACAGGAAAGTCAGGAAAACTCGCCAGCTCCAGCGTGACGTGCGTCCCTCCAGGCTTTTACCGGAGCGCCGCTGAAGTTGGACCCGCCGCCGCTTGGCTGCTGCTGTGGAGGCGGCGTGAGGAGCGTTGCTACGCGGGAACGCTCCGCTGCTATGGAGAGCACCTTCTGACCGGACCTGGATTTACCGAGCTGCTGCTGGCTTCTCTCGGTGCGTGGATGTAATAAAACTCGCGGGAAATGCCTGGGAAAACCAAGTACAACCTCGTCGATGACGGGCACGATCTGAGGATCCCGTTGCACAACGAGGAAGCTTTCCAGCATGGGATCAACTTCGAGGCGAAGGTGAGTCTGGAATCCGGCTGCTGAGTCCAACTCCGTGTGAATGTTTATTATCGGGTGTTGGTGTAAAGAGAAGTGTACGCGCTCCTCTCAGAAACGGAAACAACGACTTTGTTCCGAACCCGCTCCTAAACTCCGACTGTTGTTTTTTTTAACTCACCTTTTGTCTACCTGTCACGTTTTAGTACATCGGCAGTCTGGACGTGGCGCGGCCGAGCAGCCGGGTGGAGATCGTGGCTGCCATGAGACGGATCCGGGTGAGTAGAAACCCCGAGAGGAGGCTTTTTATGGTTTTATGGCTCTTCATCGGTGACTCGTGTGGGTAAAGCCCGATTAGCACCGATCCAAGGCGGGTTTTAACGCGTTTATTACCACTTTATTGAGTATTCCGGGGGACAAATTCGCCAAAGATGAGGCTGGACATGGTTCTGTGTTCGTGCTAGTATTTTGTCAGAGACGCACCAGTTCCGTTTTTGAGGACCGATACCGATTTCCAGTCCATTAGCATCTCCGGTGTGCCAACACCAATTTATTTCTATTAATTATAATCAGAAACCCAGTTTTACTAATTTTTCTTCCATTTCGGATTAATTGTATTTAATTTCTGGGACCAAAAGCGTTCATGCCATGTAAGCCATGTCAATGACCATGACAGTGGTGCATTCACTGACCAAATAAAAAGAAGGATGGAAAGTCAGATATTTCAAACAGATGCCAGTATTTCTATAAATGTTAGTCAAACAAGTGTAAGGGTGTTTTCTTTTGTGCTGGAAAATCATCAGAATATCTGTTCATTTGAGTCTGGAAAAGTCTGGAATCTTGAAAGCGGAAACGTGCGGGAACCCCGTGGATGTGTGCGCTGTCTCGTGCTTTTCTTTGCCTGGCAGGAGCTCTGCTCTCCCATGTGCTCCATCATTTTTCTGAACGTTTCCTTTGAAGCTGTGCACCGATGTGTGGACCCCCCACCACCACCACCACCACACACACACACACACACACTCACCTACTTTCAGTCCAGCTATGATTTACAACTTTTCAAATTCCAGAAAGTAGATTTAATCCTAACGAGTGCCACTTTGGCTGCACCGTTTGGTTTCTGAAGCACGCTGGTGCAGGCGGCGTCGTGTCTGAGGATTATAGTCGACAGACTTGTTTGTTGTGATCGCATGACGATTATTTTAAAAAGCAAGTCAGCTTTTCTCTGAGTAAATGGATCTATGCAGAATCTTCTAACGTGTTTGTTTGCTGTCTGTGCATCCACGTTAAAGCTTGGCTCCCGCTCACCAGTGGCGGTGGCGTAGCACAGCTGAGAAAAACACCCTGATTGCCCTTTTAAAGAAGTGACCTGCTGCTATAAATTGGACCCCCAAGCATGCGGCCGTAGCGGCAGTTTTTCGCTCTTCCTTCTTCCATCTCAGGAACGTTGCTAAGCTGAGTCTCATTCTGTCCCGCTCTGAACTTGAGACAGTTCTCCACACCTTCATCTCCTCACGCTTAGACTACTGTAACTCTCCTTTCATGTGTCTGAGCAGAACCTCCCTGAACCGTCTACAGGTGGTTCAGAAGGCCTGTGCTCGGCTTCTGACCAAGTCCTCCAAACACACCCACATCACCCCGCTTCTCCTCCAGCTTCACTGGCTGCCAGTCAACTTCAGGGTTCATTTCAAGATCCTGGTTCTGGTCTATAGGGCCTTACATGGACAAGCACCATCTTACATTGGTGATCTTCTTAGTCCCTACACCCCCAGCAGGTCCCTGAGGTCCAGTGATCAAAGCCTACTGGTTGTGCAGCACCAGGCTAAAGGTCAAAGGTGACAGATCATCTGCTGCTGTGGCCCCCAGACTCTGGACCTCTCTCCCCCTGAGCCTGAGATCAGTGGACTCAGTGGTCTCCTTTAAAAAGCAGCTGAAGACTCACTTGTTCAAGCTGGCTTTTGTATGACCTTCTTCACCTCTCTCTCTTTATTCTTCTCTCCCCACCTATTCCACCTTCCTCAGGATCCACTGATTTCCCTCTTTCCTGTTCACTCTCTCTCTTTCTTAACATTTTTTAATCACAATTGTCTATTTTTTGCTCATTTTAAATATATTTTTAATAATTTTCTAAATTCTTTTTTATATTTTTACATTTTTTGTATTTGTGAAGCGCCTCGTGATTTTTATCTGGAGAGGCGTTATAGAAAAGATATTTTCTTCTTCTTTTTGTTGGGTTTTGGTTCCAGAGTTCGCCATATCTTATATAAAATGGCAGGAATGTTCATGGTTTAGTGCGTTTAACCCAGAAGAAGTCCACTAAAGCATTTACTGTGAGTACAGTTCCGATTGTATCATGTTTAAAAAATGATGTTTACCTCTCCGCGTTACGTAAAACACAGATGATGAGATAGCAGGGGTGCAGCATAACTTAAAGGGCTTTTCAAGTCATCTGTTGAAATTTCAGTATTTTTTAATATTATAGGGTTAGAAAAATTTGCTATGTGACTTTTTTCCTCACATATTTCAGCCCTACTAACAACAGGTTTTCTGCACATATGCACACATGTACATGTACATATGTGCATTAGGGTTGTCATGGTGTGAAAATTTAACCTCACGGTTGTTGTGACCAAAATTACCACGGTTTTCAGTATTATCGCGGTATTTTTTTTAAACGTGTTACACAAAGTATTTTTTGTTCTTTAGGCTGTGGAAAGGCTGTGATGAAGAGCTTTTTGAACTGATGAGGTTACTCCAGCGGACCGCTGCGGGCTTTTATTTTGGCGCGGCTGCAGAAAGCTGCTGATGCGGAGGCTTCTAAGGTCTCTCCTCTGCACCAACACTAATATAAAGATGCATCAAAACAGTGACGGGAAGAAACGAACACAAGTTCTGTGCTTTTCTTACCTTTTGTACGTGGCTTCAGTCTTTTGAAATTCTAGGTGCAGAAACGAGGTTCGTGGTTCAGCCTTGCAGAATTTTTCTGTGGCTGAAGCTTAAAAGTAAAGGAAAATATTAACCCTGATGCCTTCTCTGAAATGCTGTGTTCAGGGTCACCCAAGTTGCCTCGTCATGGTGAAAAACGTCAGAAAGTTACCCAATAGGCGTTTAAACCTTCATTTAAAGAACAGCCAAACCGCCTTTCTTCTCTCATCTGCAGCCTTTTGGCTGATGGACAGCTAAATGGGATGTTGCTGCTTGGAGAACAGCTCATCTAAGACTGAGTAAAGTGATGCCGTTGTTCACCAGTTTTCTCTGATTTTAGTAAAATCCCAGAGAGAGGAGAAGATTCCTTGACTTTGTCTCGAACTGTCAAACCCACTTTGGTGCGTCTTAGCCAGCGTGGTTTATTCACGCTTTCATTTCCTTGCGTTAAAATGTTCGTAACCATTATTATCAAATGTCTCTTTTAGGGCCGGGCAATAAAACGAATATTTATTGTTATCGAAATTTCTGAGTCTTATCGAGATAATTTTCCAAATGTCAATAAAATTCATAATAAAGAAATGAAAGGTGTGTGTAGGTTGGCAACGTTCACGTCCCACTTTTAGTCACGGAAATACGTGACTCAACGTAAAATGTGCCACAGCCCCATCTAGTGGACAACTTTTGTTTCTGCACATACCTGAAGTTATCGTCCATTTATTGTTATCGAGGTTAAATCCTCAATATATCGTGATATTGATTTTAGGCCATATCGCCCAGCCCTGTCTCTTTACAGTTTTACTAATAAATCATTTAAAACGTCTTCATTAATTTCTCGAGCAAACAAAAGCATGAAAACATTCAGCTTAAATAAAACACGACGGTGGGCGCCACAGGGAAACAAAGACGAGGCTTCTTTTTAACTCTTTAACCGTATTTAATACTAGGGATGTCCCGTTCTAATACAGGGTGTCCGCGGGTCCTTAAAAAGTCTTAAATTAGCTTTTCCAAATTTAAGGCCTTAAAAATCCTTAAAAATGACAAATAATCCTTAAATACATTTTCCAAAGGTCTTAAATTTTCAAAGACCCAATAAACAAGATTCTTTCATTTCTTTAAAATTTTCGTGACTTTCTAGTTAGTGTTCAGCATTTTTTGTGTATGATGTTGGCGTAAGCGGAACCGTACACATTCAGCTGTGAAAGGGGGCTATTTTTAGATGAGCACATTAGCTGGTTAAACTAGTGGGAAGTGCTAGTTTAATGGTAACTGGATGGCTAATCCCACGTTTGCGACGTGGTTCGCACCGGTTCCAGGCAATAGCTGGAAATTATAGCTTTAATTTTAAAAATAGCTTAAATTTGGTCTAAGTGGCCTTAAAAAAGGTCTTAAAAAGTCTTAAATTTGGCACCCTTAAACCTACAGATACCCTGTAATATCGATATCGGAAGTAATCTGATATCGGCCCAAAAAACAGTATCGGATTATATCAGACGGCATCAAAAATCTCTGATATAAGCAGTCCATTAAGGTTCACACTTTTGCAACCAATGGTTAAAAAAAAAGTGGAATATTTTAATACTTACTGTTATTGGTTCTTGTTCTCCGTGAGTAAAATCACATGATCAAGCCTTTCATACATTCCACACTACGAAATAGGTTCAAGTATGTATGATTTGTGCTGACATCGTATCGGATTGATATCGGTATCGGTCAATAGTGAAGGCTGCAATGTCGGTATCGTATCAGAAGTGAAAAAGGTGTATCGGGACATCCCTGTTTAATACGAGTCGTTTATACGTCACGCTACCCAACTACAATTACAAAATTAAACAGTCATATGTCTCCATAAAAACATCTGTGTTTACAAATCAGTCACATGCACTAACTATCACCATCATCATTTATTGGACTGACGATTGGCGGCGGGAAAGATTATACGAACTGTTTCCTCTGACACATGTTGGCTCGCGTCGGACAAAAGCAGCTGTTGAGGCGATAAACATAAAAGGTCTTTGCCTAAAATGTTGCCGTTGAGTTTTAGTTTTCATAAAGTGGCTCGTGAACCACCGGGCAGGTTTGAATAGGACTCTCCAAGGATAAACAGCGGATTGATTTATAGAGCCAGATCCATTAAAGATGGCTGACCCGGCTGGTCAACCTGGAGAAACACCAGACAAGTCTTTAACTCGGTCAGTTTTACTGATGGTGAGCTGTAACTTAACTAGCTGAGAGTCATTCACAACACAGACTCTTGAGTTCATGATGTTAGTTTCAGGATTTTACACAAAAACCCATAAAACCATACATTTTCAGTGTAAAACGACCTTCATTTAGAAATCTGTCGTGAAAGATG